CATTTTCGTATACACTTAATTAAATTTGTATCAACACCTTCAAAGCTTTCAATTCAAATAAATCATAAGCGAAGTAAAATTATTTTTGTATTAAAATCAGTTTTTATTGATATCAATCAAAGTCTGTTAAAAATCATCGCTCACTGACCAGCATTTGCTTACGACCTGCTGTGACAATTGCCTACAAGTTGTTTTATTACGTGGCACATACATGTATATTTGTAGCACAGTAGCACCGAACGATGACATTACTCTATCTTAAATACTTTATCTTTTGATGCAAAAAATCGGTTCTTATTAACTAGTCACACTTTAGTACAGCAAATACAGTAAAAGTCAGATTACTTGGAAGGTAACAACAAGAACATTTTACATTCATTTTACTTATTTATATATTTTATCAACATTTTAATTGATATCTTTTTTTTTGCAAAATACAAATACACGTACATTGCGTTTTTGTACGAGTGCTTTAATGAAAATCAACAATGAATGCCTATTATAAAGCAATACTTTACTGTTCAAATACAAGACTTTTCAGAAATACATAAATGTGGTCAAGAAATAATGACTATTTTATTATCAATTACTAATTAAAGATAACTCGTAAAGATGGTCCTTATCAGAGGTTCACATTTTCTCTCATAAATTACTTTTAATTTAATATTTTTTGAATCTTTGTAAAATAGACCATTTGTGGCTTTCTGGTGCACATACAATTCTGTCAGACTACAACATTCTGCAACTTGTAGGCTTGTTTACAGTTGGTGCACCACAAGTATGATTGCTACGTGATCACTGCATGATCGCTAGCTGGCTCATATATGCACCAAGTGAACATAAATGTTTCAGTATGGCAGATTTGATGAAGTACTCAGACAGAAAAGATCACATGACACTCTCAAATGGACTATAGTGAATTCACAGATGACAAATACTCAAAAGATTTTTTTAGATTTTTTTAGAATTTTTTTGCAAGTGTGCCCCTGACTAGTTCATAAATCATTGGGTAAATTTACTAATCTATTGTACCATTATTGTAGCCCCCTGATTGTATGAGTCAGGAGAATACACATGCTGCATAACACACAAGTGATGCCATCTCTAAACCAACTAAGAGTAACATTATTGGCAGAAAATGTTGTTTTTCTGGTGCTATTATATTCCCTTAAATCAAAATTTCAATCACATATGATGTACAACCGAAAGTTTGTAACCAAATCAGTGGATTTGAGCTTCCAATTTATTAAAACTAGTTGGTGAAAATTTACTTTATAAACTTAACTAGATTCATGATAAAAAATACAATCCACTTTTTACATGTCAAGATGAACCATAAATACTCATCAAACATTCTAATCGTAAAATTTATGTTAAAATCATGCTTTCAATTCATACATTTATCTATTTTTCTAACATGGCGTAAACCTATTTCAAAGTTTTTACAGTGTCTATATAACATATTGATGTAAATAATGATGAGACGGTATTCATAATAACGTCTATCATGATTGCAATTAGTTACTTAATAACTATAGAACGTTGTGGAGCTAAATTGTAATATACAGGAATTCTTTGAAAGTCAACAACATTTATATTTATTTCACAATGAAGTTCCTGTATCACCGAGAAAAAATTGACTCTTTGTGCGAAATCATCTGGATTCAAATGAAATAAGGATATGGTCGTCATCACAACGACGCGGACCCTTTGGCACTGGATTTAAACCTTAAATCAAACACTAAAGAAAAGTGATCTGATGATGTAATATAAGAGGGCGCTCTTTCATCGCCAAGCTGAGAATCAGTTGGAATCGGAAGTAATGCATCAATAGTTAATTGGTCTTCAGAATGCCAAATATAGTCTATGGTATGTTTAGCTTCGCCGGACGGTCTGATCTTCCATGTCGTGTACTCCGGTTCTGTGTTTCCATTTTCGCTTAATAATTGGTACGTACTTTTCAGATTTAAATTGCTATTTTGAAATTCACTGTACACTGGCTCGCTGGATTCAGCGTTGAAGTCACCACAGAATACAATAGGTCGCCCTCTAGACTGTTTATTTAAATGTTCAAGTAAAATTTTCCCCTGTGCATGTCTCAATTCTTGCCAACCGTTCTTAGCTTTGAGATGAGTCACACCGACAACTAGACTCTTTCCTTCAAATGACTTTTTCCGGCATCGCAGCGTGTAAATGATCGCAACTTGATTAGTTGTTCTACTGCCTTTCGTAACATCTGGAATTGTTAGATTGGGCGTGATACCGTCAATCATGTCAAATTTATCTTGTTTATAAAATAATGCGCAGCCATCAGGCCCATTATGATCTAAGCAGTACACACATGGTGAATCAGGTTTGGGTTTAAAGGTACCTTGGTAACCGATACTTTGCAACATAGGGTTATAAAAGTCATGGTAGTGGTCTACTTCTTCTAGACATATAATATCCGGGTCATAGGTCAATATCTCCTCCAAAGATCGAAACTTCCGGGTTTGCCATAGCAACGAATCTGGTGGAGATCTTATGAAATCATCACGACTTTGACATAGAGCTGTTAACAAACAAAAAAATTAATAAGTTAATAAATCAATATATTTTAAAGTCGCTCTCTGAGATGATCATGATATGTTTATTTATTTGGGTTTTAGGACTACGGTACTATGTGACCATATGTGATGGTATGGAATATGTGTGAATTGTGGCACACATGTGAGAAATGAAGGATTTGCCGTTGATCCAAATTACTGATGCAGACAGTAATCTACTAACTGTGAATATTCTATGAATGTTTTCAACACATAAAACTACAAAAGCAAATTTTTTCTATTATAATAGCATTACTGATACATCAGGTTATAGTGTAATATGGCAGCATCTACCAGGGCACAAGCACTTGTGGAATGTAGCCAAGGTCTCTTCTGTCTCATCAATTTGTGAGACTTCACAAGGTAATTGTGCCACAGAAGCACTTCAATGAATCAAAAAAATCTCCTACATGCTTAAGGTAATGGAGGCATGAAATGAAAATAGGAAATATTTAAAATTAAATTAACTAAAGATTATCTTATATTGCTCAGCTCTTTGAGATGCACAATGTGAAAGCAATCTTATCCACAGAAATGCTCCTTGCAATAATTGATAAGCAAGAATGTCAACCCCAGACTGTGAACAGTATAGTTATGCAAATAGACTTTATTCACAAATATACATTGAGATCTCGTGGACAGTAAGAAAACCATGTGACTCATTTTTGTCACCCCTACATAGTTTTCCATTCACTGCAGTCATCACATCTGCTTAACCATAATCATCGATGGAAAACAGATTATGTTTCTATTCCACAAAATTTAACAATATCAACGGTATAATGCAAATTTCATGAATTTGGAAAAATTTAAAATTTATACATTTAAACATTAAGAGACTTTTACAACAGTCTATGTGTATTTGAATAACAGTAAATGAACATTAATTTTCATATTATAAGTTGTTTTGTATTTTTAATTTTGAGGCAACTGAACATGTTATTGCACATACATGTATATGCAATGCATTATGGGATAGAGCCTGTCAAAATTCTGTCATTCTTACGAGATCTCAGTGGCTATTCGATAACTATTACACACTAATTTCAACGCTAAACTAACCACGTCTGTGAAGTATCTCAGAAAACATGTGTAGCGTGTTTCATTAATTACATTGCCTGGTTCGAGCTGTACTCCTTACTGAGGAAATATAACATACCCTTTCCATCGGCTATGACTGTTATTCAGTCCTGCCTGCGATGAAAACTAAATGTTTTTTAGTGAAAGATCACAATTATCAACCAGCTTTAGGAATAAGAGATATTGGGTGATAACCTTTTTATCACATGACCATCTGCCAGTGACAAAATGACAGAGGCATTGTAATTTTTTGGAGCTACACTTCCAAATCATATGATTATTCGATAAGTTAAGCACCAGTAGATGCACATTTGCTGCAAAATACATGGTATCATTTATCTTTGCATACTCATTCATGCACACAAATTCATGATGATGTTCAATGAGAATATTGTTACATTTACGAATCAGCAGAGACATGCCATATAATTCAAAATGATATGGTTATGCGATATTGTGGTTTATTATACCTCGTATTCAAAATCATCATGCTGATTGGTCAGAAAACAGTCACATGGTTGTTAATTGATTGTGTACATACAGTTGTTTACAAAACACAAAATGTTGTCAGATTGCAACATTGAGCCAACATTACATTTTGATTCAGTGATTATTCTTACAGATAATATTTCAAATCCAGGGTTCTCAGCAAGTTTCTGATTTTATAACAGCTGTTAACACATGGACTTTCAGGAGGGAAATTCAATGCAACTGCAAATGGCATTTCAAAATGGGCACAATTATCTTGATAATTATCAATGTCCCAAACTCAAAATAAGCCTGTCACCCCTAATTTATTAGGTTTAATGCCAGCAAAGCATTATCAATACAGTGAAAATAAACACTTTCACAGTATAAGTCATTTGTTTCATTAGAAACAAATGGGCTTCTCAGTATTACCAACAGCTGTCGATAATTAGCATAATATCTGACATTACATACACAATAATAATGAACCTAACGAGGAACATATTTTCTTACCATCAGCCAGGACATTCCATTGCATAATTCGTATACTTGGACCCTGTGGATTCTCTCCCATGCTTGGATTACCAGTATATTGGATTTTCTGAAACTTCCTGGTCAGTAACGGTGGATGACCTTTCAGAGCCTCTCGACACTGACCTAATAATAACTGATTAGTCGCCATCCTTGTTTTAGTTTGGCCCATGAATCTGAATATTGATAGAAACAGAAAAGGAAATCATGTACTTAGTAATAACATATATGTATTACCACCACTTACACTTTATCAATTATACCTGCTGAATAACAGAGGAAAACAGTTTGTTATTTTGAATATGATAAATAATTATTATTTTAATTATATCTCAATCCCCAAATAAAATATTAATCTATAGAGGGACTGTGACCATACAGACCCACAAACCTAACTCTAATTTCCAAATAAAATATTGCATTGTCTCCTATGGTGAGACTATTACATAATACCTAAACTACACCACAGTCCCTGTGCGTGCAACCACAATTTTGGTTGACATGATTCATGGAGTTGAATGGCTAAAACATGAAAGGCCAATTATGTAATTTCTCAATTAAATGCAGAACCAATAGTTTTAGGATTTGAAACTTAATAGAAAGCAGGAAGACATCCTTATTGTCTGTGTTGTGTGTATTCTAAATTTGTCTATATGTTTTTCATTGAAATTTCAAAATTCTGTGTGCTCTCCTTTTAATTTGAAAATATTGGCCTATGTAATAATTTTTTTAAAAGGTCGAAAAAGAGGGTTTCATTCACATAAAGGCTTTTGGAATTTAAAATTATAAATGCACATTCCACTTAGTCTAGTGAATTCTGTTCTGGTTAATTTGAATTTAGCAATATTTAAAGTAAAACAATTTTACAAGTACATGTAGGTACTAACAAAACATACAATATGCTGCATTACATACCGGTAGATTATATTATATATATAGATTACATAGATCATATGTTTTTATGAAACATCAAGGAAGTCAATCTGTGCATTTGTGAACAAGACATTGCTTACCAACAGCAGGCACATTCCCACCTCTTTTTTTCTCTTTTCAAATAAAAAAAAAAAAACTTTCGACTATAGAACTGATGAGCAGATCTAGTTTTTTGTCAACCCAATCTATGTCATGCATGCTTAAGTCACACAGAGGATCTTCTTTTCACCACCATGCTGATATTTTGTGCAGTTAAAACTGATTATGTACCGGTTAACCATGTAAGGTGACATTTTCTGCTTTAGTTTATCTATTTATCTCAAATTGACTGTCATATATAAGATTGATTGACCCACAGATTGTGAATGACCAAAGTCTCTAGTTCCTCACTACAAATGGGTCAGGTCATGGCTTTCAATCAATGGAAACTTATTAGGATGAAATAAATTTATTATTATTATTATTAAATAAATAAACAAACAAATAAATATTAGTATTATACATCTGTCACCATAACGCCATAAGTTACAGCGTGCCGTAATTTTACGGTATAGTACTGGGTATTTTAATCCTACCATATTAGGAAACGCTGATTCCAAATATGGAATGATATTCCTGGGAAGATAAGATGTATAATAGTAAGGTTATTACGAGAACACTGCAAAGTATGCACTCAGACAGTATGCGGTTGCATCATCCTCCATTGCGCGTCAGTCGGTAATCTCGCTGTACTGTCTTTGTGCATACTTTGCAGTATCCTCGTAAAAACCTCCTATGTCTACCTCCATGCTTATTAAATTATTGATAGTTTTAATAGTATAGATAATGTATAATAAATTAGGCTTCAGATGCTCTCCAATGGAAGCCATCAAATGTAAAACTGGGTCAGATCTTGAACTGTGTACAATCATGGAGGTAAAAAGACATCTTTATACCTCCATTGTACAATGTATATGGCGAGACCTCTCGTTCAAACCATATTTATTCTATTTAGATGTACCTGAATCGTTTACTTTTAACTAGTCGCCATGTTGACATGAATACAGAAAATATTAACTGAAGGACAGAATCTCCATTTACATAGTAAGGACGATTTCCTGATGAAGATCATGACATTGTAGATCATGTATTGGACTCCAACCGGGCCGGCCTGAGGATAGTACAGCTGTACGAAGAAATATAGGCCATCCGCTTTACCGGCTCTGGCTGGCATTCAGTCCTGCCTGTGATGACAACTAATAACACATTTTAAGTGAATGATCACGAATTACTAAAACGTAGTATTTACCACTACATACCTTTTCGTTATGATCACTATAGCGACAAAAACAAGCACCTAACACTCCGATTTTCTTTGAGGAATTCAAGAGATATATTACTTCTCTGCCCATGACCTTTCACCTTTGGCGAAGATCAACAATATTGTAGTTTATGTAAATATTCACGATTTATTCAATAACTTTTATTTATATGTGAGTAAGTTACCAATAACTGATATACATTTATTTCAGTATTTTAAAATTAATTAATAAAATATAAATGTCCCATGATGCTCTGCAACGCGCATTTCAAAATGGCCGAGGTCTTCAGGTAAACAACTTTGCGTACACACGCTCGAAATTTGTTTTATTTTGCCATGTTTACCTTTGAGTTTATATCTTTATTTCAATCGTTTATTAAATCAACTGTCATTTTTCTTCCAGTAAAGCAAACGAATCGTTCGTGGATGAGAATTACGAGGAAGCAATTAAGGTACGTTGTGATTCAGTGATTGTATTCTGCAGACGTTTCCCGAAACTTCTCCGTGCGTAGTACTAATATTGAGTCATACGGTATTATAGCCTTTGTATAGTTCATGAACAGTAACGCGGTTCTTGGTCCATCGTGTGGTGATTTTGCGATCAACCCGCGATGGACTGCAGCTATTAAGTAATGCGTACGCAATATCTTTTTTTCACTTCAGTGACACTTCCACATCTGTCATTTTATTTCAGTTGTAGTGGCACAATATTAAAATATGTACCCTTGTTTATTGGTGTGTATTGAAAATATGTGACATATTTGATGGTATAAATTGTAGGATATATCGTGAACATTGAAACTTACAAAATAACAACGATTTAGCCAAAAACAACCCTCCTAGTCCAAATCAGGATTATTTTTACTAACCGTGTCTAAATTCATAATTTTGTGCAACCAAATATTGGTGATTGTCCGGCTCCCAATTGAATTTTTATTCATATTTCATTTGTGATAACTTAAAATTATTCACTTGTTTTTAATTTTGCTATTTTTTCTAATGAGTAAAACTTGCTGAATTAAATTCAAATAGAATAATAATCCCTGTCATGTTCATGACCTTAAAACCCAGTGGTATTGCTCAAATGCCAGTGAAAATAAACTTTTTTTAACAGTGGGGGGGGGGGGGCTATAACAATAAAACCAGTAAATATTGTCACTTTAACAATCTTGTCTGTACATGTGAGTATACTTACCTCACCTGGTTGTCTGCCAGTCAGTCTCTCTAGGTTTATTGCTTTGAAATCATGTTCGAACATGCATTGATTTATTATTTGCAAATAACTTGCAGTAATTCAAATCAAATCCAGGCGAATCACATTTTGTTTTCACCTACTCAATTCAGAAAAGTACACATTTAGATATTAGAGTTTCTCACATACACTTACAGTCAGCTGGCATGTCTGTTGTGCACCATATGAAAAAGGGGAAAGCTGTCATGCAAGCTCAGCCAAACAAACATTAAAGGTACATTCATTCTCTGACAATGGAGAAAGTACATGCGCTGATGGAAATTATTTAGTTGTTGAGCTACATCTTGTCTCTTTTCGTTGCCTTTCATTGCATTAGCAAAAATGCCCTGGAAATCCTGTTTCCTGAGTTTTAGATTTGATTTTGTGGAATTTGGATGTATTCACGACTTGTGTGTTTATTATGCAGTGTGAATCATTCCAGCTTACCACATTTTTTCAAACCAATTGTTTTAGCCAAACTGGTTTTTCATTGTAATAGACGTTTCCGAGATCCTCTGGCTGCTTAGTTACCATGTGCACAGAACATGGATCAACAGTGAATACGTTTTGGTCAGCAGGAATATTTAGTTTTGGGCCGATGTTTTATTATAAGCATGTTGATTCCGTGTTGTAGGCATCCACATGTTACCTTTCAAATTTTCCAAACAAATTTTTTCAAATATGAAAAAACCTATTATTCACACACATTGTATAACATTATATTATATAACATTATAACATCTTGGTATCCATACATACATACAAATATATGTATGTCCATTATACTTAGGGGAAAAGCTGGAGCAATAGGCTCATAAGAGACTGGTTATAAAATTAATCCTCCCGCTTTCTGTTGCAATCTCATCCAGTATCTTAGCAACTAGAAACTCTTCTGAAAAACTTGTTGCATCTATTTTACACATTGACCAACAACATTTATTTAATTTATGTAATTTATTTTATCTCAAGCCCTTGATTATTACAATTCAGTTACATCATTGGGCAGTTCTACCAATGATGATGAAGTCATAATTAAATTCTCACACATATCAAATGCTTTGACCTCTACACAGCTTTACACAGAAGCTATTGAACAAGATGATCAGCCAGATTATTTTATTAAAAGAGCCCAAGCTTACATCAAACTGGAACAGTATTCAGGTTTGTATGCTAGTAATACATTGATGGCTTTAATTGTGCAGTTTTTATGAGATGAGTATAAATGAGTTATGGCCATCCAGTGTGTTGAAGGAAAGAACAGCTAAACTTCAAATTTTGATTACTTAATGCCAATTCATTAGTTGAAATTACATAAAAAAAAACAAATATTTGATTCTAGAAAATGTTTGAAATTCACTTGGCTGTCATTAGTCACAGAACTGATACAAACTTAACTTGTATACAGACATATTCCATACATATATGATGATCTTATATGTATGAATGTTTGTAAATACTTTTGAATTTCTCTTATACACTCACCAGGTGAAGTCCTGAATGAACAAAATGTTACATGCTCTGTTCTTGAAGTACACCAGTTATCGTTATTTTTTATGATATTCTCAAAATCAAACTTGATATTATTTTACAGAAGCTATTAACGATGCCCAGAAAGCAATAGACAAGGAACCCAGAAATTCAAAAGCATATTTAAGAAAAGGGTTGGTACCATATCTCTTGTTATCAGTATACTGTGAAAACATTAATTATTCACGAGGTTTTACTAGTTTTCGTTTAAATGAAGTAATATTTTGGAAGCCTCTATACCAAATCTATTCATTCTTTGCACACGCTTTAACTTTATATGGAACTTGTACACTTAAAATTTGTACATTATACATGTATGTGTTAAGATGTTATGTGATCAAATCCAAGATGACTGACTGATTGTCATCTTGTTTCATGCTTAGACATTTTTTGTTCAAATTTGGCATATACATGTACATTCCTCTTGTGCATGATGATTCATTTTGTGATCAAATCAAAGATGTTCTACTGCCAGCCATTTTGCTTTTTTTTCATTTATGATACTGAAGACATGCTCCTAATTTGGATATGAAAATAGATGGCATAATATTACTACTAGTACACTATTGTTCTGCCCAGTTAAATTACACATTGTATCGGCAAATTTGCATACCAGTAAAATATGTTAATGACGTCTATTGTATTTATTGTACCGTTAAATTGGTTTACTGTACTC